GGATCCACTGGCTCCCACAGGCTGTCCTTTACCTACCTGTCACTGAGAGGGGCCAGAGCCTGATCAACCTGGTGAGCAAGGTGGCCGCTTTCCACCTGCAAGCCCTTCAGTGACTCTTCTATGGCAAGGAGTGCCTACCCTGACAACAACTGGCCTGCAGTTTCCTGCAGAGGATAGGGGCCCTTGGCTTCAAACAGGAGCTCTTCCTGCTGGACCTCATGCTCCTGAACTGGGCGGTGCTTCTGGCCTTCTATCACAGCATGATACAAACCTGGCAGGCCACCTTCCACTTCCAGCCACAGGCCCAGCACCTGCAGTTCCCCACACCTGCTGAGGGACCCCTGGTACACAACCCAGCCCTGCAGTGCCCTGTGCCAAGCCTTTCCTCTGCCAGCCTCATAGCCACCCTCATCCAGGCGAGTGTCCTCCGCCTTAACCATCTCCTTGACCCTGCTCAGTTGGCCTGGTTCTTGCCTGAGGCCCTGACCACCCGGCTAGGCATGCGCTCTGTCCGCAGCATGGGCCATCTCCTGGGTAACATCCAGGCTGCCCTCCTACTGGAGGCAGCACCCATCCTGAATAACCATTTCTGGGCACACCAGGTCCCCAGCACCGCAGATGCACCAAGCGAGGCTTTGTCCAAACTGCTAGTCACCCCAGCCGTGGCCAGCGAGCTGGCCGGTGGGCCTGGCACCCTGCTGACGCTCCCCGTGCCTCCCTACATCAACACAGGTTGCCTCTTTGCTTTGTTGTTGCATAGAAGCCTGTATGCCTGGGTGGTTCACGTCCACCATGCCCAGGTGCTGGCGGGCCACCCTGATACACCATGGCGACAGTGCCTGGGGCCACCAGATTCCCCACCAGCTCACCTGGCATGGCGCACATTGTATAAGCCACCAACCGCCAAGAAGACTGGCGACCTGCAGTGGCGTTTGCTGCATGGCATCCTAGCCACTGGCATGTTTGTGTCCCACTTTGACCCAGCCACCTCGATGGCCTGCCTCTTCTGCCCCAGGGGCATTGAGGAAGACCTCTTTTATGCTTTCCTCGATTGTCCCCCCTGTGGCCACTTTTGTTACCCTCGAGCTGCTGCTGCAGGCACTGGGCAGGAGCCTCTCAGAGATCACCTACATGTGCTCCTACCTGTACTGGGTGGCCAAGCGGGGCACCATCTGCGTGGCCAACTTTCTACTGGGGCAGGCCAAGATGGCCGTCCTTAAGAGCTGCCACAATCGGCTTGCCAGGACCAGCTCAGAAAATGCTCTGCAGCTTTTCGGCCTCCTAGTGCAGGTGCACCTCTTACTGGAGTTTGAGCATGCTGTGCTCCAGCAGGCAGTGCCCGCCTTTGAGGTATGCTGGGCCCTTGGGGGACACCGTGCCATGCGGAAGACGGTCTTCAATATGTGCTCTGATGTCATGACTGGTCTGGGCAACTGGGTAGGCTCAGTGTTGGAGTGTAACTCTGAGCCCACGCCACGCCCTGGGCCCTCACTAAGCTGCTTTTTGCTTTTTGCTGTGTGTGGGAAGTTGAAGGTTTTGTCACGTGTCTGATTGGATAAAGCAGGGTAGGAATCATTTGTTTATAGAGGGCTGTATGACCATGTGGCTGGTGTCCTGACGGCATAATGGCATGTTAGGCACAATGTGTAATACAGAAAAGGTCATGGTATGATGTTATGACTGTAATGGCATGGTGCTTTTGGTTTGTTGGTAATTTGTTTGTCTTTGCGTTGTATATTGGGTCTGGACCCTGGAGGGGCCTACCTTTTGTACCCCAAACACCTGAATAAAGTACCGTATTTTTGTGCATATAGCCCACACCCATGTATAACTCACACCCATGTATAACCCACAGAAAACTGTGTTTTTGTAAAATACTCCATGTATTCCCCGCACCCTGAGACATGGCAGCAAGTGCGGGCTCTGCTGGCAGCGGTGGGGAGCAGGGCTCGCTGCTCACAGTTCCTCATCCCTCTCCTCCCCTCCCCTGCAGAGCCCCGCTCCCCACCGCCGCCACCAGCCGCACTCTGCTGGGCACAGCTGCCGGAGCCGGAGCTGGAGCTGGAGCCCACAGCTCACAGCTCCTCATCCCTCCCCTCCCCTGCAGAGCCCCGCTCCCCACCGCCGCCACCAGCCGCACTCTGCTGGGCACAGCTGCCGGAGCCGGAGCTGGAGCTGGAGCCCACAGCTGGGGATGGGCTTGCGGGCTCTGCAGGGGAGGGGAGGGATGAGGAGCTGTGAGCTGTGGGCTCCAGCTCCAGCTCCAGCAGCTGTGCCCAGCAGAGTGCGGCTGGTGGCGGCGGGGGGGAGCGGGGCTCTGCAGGGGGGGGGAGGGGAGGGATGAGGAGCTGTGAGCTGTGGGCTCCAGCTCCAGCTCCAGCAGCTGTGCCCAGCAGAGTGCAGCTGGCGGCGGTGGTGGGGAGTGGGGCTCTGCAGGGAAGGGGAGGGGAGTGATGAGGAGCTGCAAGCTGCAAGCCGCCCTTCCCACTGCTGCCGCCAGCCGCACTTTGCTGGGCACAGCCGCTGGAGCCGGAACCCGCAACTCACAGCTCCTCACCCCTCCCCTCCCCTGCAGATCCTGCAAGCCCATCCCCGGCTGCAGGCTCCAGCTCCAGCTCTGGCTGTGGCGGCTGTACCCAGCAGAGCGCGGCTGGTGGCAGCGGCGGGGAGCGGGGCTTGCAGCTCACAGCTCCTCATCCTTCCCCTCCCTTCCCCTCCCTTCCCCTGCAGAGCCCCGCTGGAGCTGGAGCCCACAACCCACAACCAGGGATGGGCGGGGACAGGCTACGTTGTTCTAAAGACTCTGCATAGCCTACACCCTTGTATAGCCCGCACCCACCCGTCAAGTTTGTAAAAATGTGTATAGCCCACGGGCTATATGCGTGAAAATACGGTAGCTAAAAGTCAAAAGTCTTCTTCCTTATACCCAGGAGGGTCAGAGCCTTCAAGAGTTTTTGTGTGTTATTGGCCAGTGGCTTGGGGGTGGATATAAAGGGGCAGTTTGAAGGTCATGCTGTAGGGTGCCTGGGGTACTCTGCTTTTTGAGCCCTGCATGGAACAAGGGTGTGAGCTGGACTGAGGCAAAGGAGCTGACCCCTGAAACAGTGGGCCAGGGCTGAGAGCCTTAGGATTAGCGCTTGAGGTGCAGAAGTTACTGACTGGGTTGGGAGGCCCCACAAAACTGAGACTGAATGATACCTGTGAAGCAGGGGCACGACTGGGTGAAGCTGGAGGCCATGATTAAGGGCCAAAGGCTACTGTATAGGCTTCAAAGGCACAAAACCTCACAAGCTGAGTTAGCAAGAGAGAGAAGGGAGAGGCATTGTTAGCTAGAGGGTCTAACTGTGGAGTTCTGTTGGAGTCTAGTAGCACCAGATGCCCCCTCCTCCCCTCCCACCCCCCGCCTTGGGTTCACAGGCAACCTTCCAAGAAATCCAGATACCAGCCAGACGTGAGAGGGAGGAAAGTGAAAAACATAGGCACGGCCTGCCACAAGGGAAAGAGGGCAGATACCTCCTGTGGCTGGGCCTGGGGCAAGTAGCTTCCCTGTTTCTCTATGGCTCAAACAGACTTCAGGATCTAGCACCATTTGTGTGCTTTTAAATCATTAAGGATAAAAACTAGTTTAGCTAACAAAATAAGGGTCACTTAAAGAGTATTGATTTAATGCCATATCCACTTATTCTCCCCACATTACTTACTGGAGATCTTGTTTTCCTTTTGCAGCCTAATTTAGGTGGAGTGATGTACGTAGGCTCTGCACCCACCAGCTCTGCTCTACAGAAGTACTTTGTCCCTTTGGCTTACAACTTCAGGCTACCAACCCAGGCTTCATTTACTCCTTCCACTTTCACATAACACCTGATCCAGGATCTAAGAACAAGAGGGAGGAGAATTAATGCTCAGGAGCCAGTAATGTGAACCGTTGCTTCAAGGAATGAGAAGGTTTGGCTGTTAAGTGACACTACAAATTGTAAGTCACATTTCTGTGTAGCCTGGTCCCCACAATAAAGTTTGTTTTGCTGATTCTGGTCATTAGTAATGTGATTGAGTGTATTGGCTGGTAATGCGGTGTATATAGTACATGAAAAATTCTATCTGTACATAAACCTAAAGCTGTATGTATATATGTGAGAGGAAAGAAATAATTTAACTGCACAGGCCAATAATTGCCTTATAGAAAATAACCATCTATTTTGTTTGCAAAGGGAAAAATACGCTCAAAATATTTTCAGGGTATTATTTCCTATACTACAATAATCTGTTGCCTACTCTTTTTTTTTTTACAGGGTCCTAGTAAACTATCAAACCCAGTACAGGTTGGTGATAAATGAGACTAGGTTGTCAAAGTTGCCTCACAAAATGCTGTCAGGGTCAGTGATGGCTAATGATTATGCTATAAGGCAAAAACTGGGCAGCCAAAGCTCTAGATCGTGACTGCTCTGTCAACTCCCCTGTGCCCTGGGGAAGGGGAAAGCAGTGTTGAGAATTGGTGGGGGAGGAGAGGGGAGGAGAGAAGAAAGTTGATCTTACCTGTCCTAGCTGTCCCCACACCTGGCTTCTCCAGCCAGGTGGTCAGTGCAGGGCTGCTATAGTCACAGCAAAGACTGGGTGGGGGGCAAGGGTACAATTCTGGTTTCCACTCTAAATAGATGCCCAGAACTAGTTCCCCTCTTTCCCTGCCCCTCATCCCCCTCCAGTTACGCTACTGTCTTTACATCCAAAATTCAGTTACGAACTTCCTCTAAATTGTTGAGTAGTGAGATCCAAGCTTTTGTTTCAGACCATTACAAGGATAGGAGCCTGCTGTGAAATTCTGGATCCCAACTTAGATGCAGATGTCCTCAAACCCCATAATGTTTGGATTCTGTTAACCCCATCTGCAGTGCTAATAGAAACTTACTCTCCTCTCCTGTGCTTAGGACCACAGGAAAGTAGGGCTTGAAGGGACCTCACGAGGGCATCCAGCTCAGCCCCTTACTTAAGGCAGGATCTCCCTTGACTAAACCATCCCAGCCAAATGTCTGTCTAATCTGCTCTTGCAAACTTCCAAGGATGGAGATTCCACAGTTGCTCTAGGTAACCTGTTCCAGTTCTTGACCACTCTCACAGTCAGAAAATTCCTCCTAATCACCAACCTAAATTTCCCCTGATGAAGCTTGAGGCCATTGCTTCTAATCCTATCCCATACACCCACTGAGCAAAGACCCACTGGGGAGCCAGCATTTTATTTTTAGTAAGTTTTTGTTTTTGCTTTTTCCGTGGATTTTGTGGAGATTTCCTGATTTTGCAATTTCTGCAAAATCTACACAATGATGATTTGGGCAGATCCCTATCTGTAATTGCCCTCCAGGGATTTGAAGACTGTTATCAAATCAGTCTTCTCTTCCCCAGACTAAATAACCCTAGTTCTTTCAGCCTTTTCTCATAAGTCTTGCTTCCCAGGCCTGTAATAATTTGGTTTGCTCTGCATGAGGCTCTTTCCAAAATGTCCACCTCCTTCTTGAAGTGTGGGGCCTCAAAACTCGATACAGTACTCCAGGTGATGCTTGACCAGTGCTAAATAGAGTGGAAGAATCACTTCCCTTGATTTACAAGTAATACTTCTGTTAATACAACCCAATAAAAAGTTGTTGCCTTTTTTGGCAACAAGAGCACACTTTTGGCTCATATTCAGCTTGTGTTCCACTATAACTCCCAGGTCCTTCTCTGCAGCACTGTAGCCTAACTAGTCATTCCCCCGTCTGTATTTATGCATGTTATTATTCCATCCTGAATGCAGGACTTGGCACTTGTCTTCGTTAAATCTCATCTGATTGATTGCAGATCACTTCTCCAATCTACACAGGTCATTCTGAATTCTGGCTGCAGCTCCAGCACACACTGCAGACTTCTCTCCCACCACTCCCTGCTAAGCAGGAATTCCCTCCTCCCCTCTGCCTTGCAGAGAGGTGTCTGTATATTAGCTAGCAGACCACATGTTGGCTACAGGTCCATGCTGAATTAACAGGTAGAATTAACAGGTACCTGGTAATGTCCCTCTGTTGTTTTCTTAATGGGGTGATGAATACTGAGTTAGGGGGTGATTCCCCCCAACTCAATTCCCTGCTGGGCTAATCAGAGCATCCTGATGGAGCCTAGCCATGCTCCCCCTTAAGCTCAGTGCTGTGGAAGGGACAGGAGGGCTGCTCTAGTGGCCCTTGGCTTCCAGCCTGAGCCACTGCAGGCATGTGCCTGCATTTTTTAGATGTCTGTCTGGTTACAAAACTGATTTAGCCTAGCCAGGTTAGACTAACCTGCAAAAATTGAATCAATTCAAGCTCAGGCTTTTTGAATGTCTGTCCCTAGCCTTACAAATATTTGAGGTACACTAGTTGGAACTGACTTAACTGATCATCAAACCAGGCCTTCCTTTGCTTCAGTTGAATGGAAAGAGCCACTTGGATACATTGTTAATTCCCCCAAAAAAGAATGAAAGAAAAAGTTTTCCAACCCCTGTTGAAGGCACATCCATTTTTGTTTACTCTGTACTTTTTCCTCACATTGTATGTACAGCCTCTTTCCCTAGTCTGACCTACCTTTGGTCTGCTAAGTCATTATTGTTGTCTGGAAATCACAAAGAATATTTGAAATCCTTATTGTTCAGGATTATTATTGCAATGTGTAATTATTGCAATTTTTATTGCCTTGACAGTATGTTGGCAAGTATCTTATTTCAGCTATAGGGATTCCTTTTGCCTTCATAAAATTCCTGACTTTTTATTAAAAAAATAAATAGATATGTGTACTAATAAAGTGCTACATGCTAGAAACATTTCCTTCCAGATGTTCTGTTTACTACTGTGTTTGTGCAGAAGATGGGTCAATAAGATAAACACAGAACAGATTCAGCTACTCTCTAGACGCTTGCCACTGATGCCATTTTAATAAACCTTGTTCGTGCCTTGTTCAAAGAGTTGCCAGAGGCAGATCCAGGAGGGATATGGTGGTGCTGTCCCTCCTCACTTTGGCTTTCTCGCCAAAGGAGGGAACTCTCTGAGCTCATCAGCTGGTCAGCACAGGCTTGTGCTAGAGCCACTACTTTCACATGGCTGAGGAGGCCAGGGGTGAACGCCACCACTGTTTGTACCCCCACCCCTTTCCATGTGACTAATTTGGGGGCAAGAGAAAAGAAGGGGTGAACGGCACTGGTGCTCATGCCCTGGCAGGACCCCACACTGACCAGCTGATGAGCTCAGAGAGCTCCCTGCACAGGCAGAGCTCTGGCAGGAGCATGCACTGACCATCCAGGAGTTCAGAGAATTCACTGTGCATGTGCAGCACAGGCAAGGGGGGCATGGCTGCACCCCTCTCACTCCTTTCCTGGTTCTCTCCATGAGGCTACCCCATAGCAGAATGAACCGGAGTTTGCAGCAGCTGAGTTCCGTTCCACAGTATGTATTGACTCTACAGCAGCAGCACTCTCTTGGCTATGTTCTCATGTGCAGAAAGGAGACTACTAAGGGCTATAGTCTGTGCTACCTAGTTAACATAAAAGCTTCCTCCTTCTGCTCCCTGTTTTTTGTAATTTTGGCTGCTTACAGATGTAACTCTCCCAAAATGGTGCTTTACTTGGAACTCAGTGTGCCCCTGCACCAAGCCTAGAACACACCCAGAAGATGGATTGCGTTAGTTTGATGCAGCTTGCCCAACATCTGTATCGACTGGGCGCTCCAGTGAGTCTTTTTTGGCACTTTTATCTAACAGCCGTTTGAATCAATGCTGGGGTTGAACTAACGTGTTGCCTCTTCCAAAAAAGCGCAGGTTTGGTTTTCTTCCCATGCCTGCCAGCAGGCTTAGTCTTCAAGTTGAGGTGCAGGTGTGTTATAAACTACACACCTTTTGGAGGGCACTTGGCTAGGGTGGAATAGGATCCCACTTTGGTGCTTAGATGCCTACTAGGTGGCATAAGATTTGGCCTGGACTTTGTATTGCTGCTTTAGGCAACTTGATGTTGTTCTGCTTTCTTTTTCTCTGTGTCTGCTTATGATTGTTATTGAGGGTACTACTGCATGGCAGAAGGGAACTAGCCTTGAGCATATCTTCCAGTAAGGTTCAGTTGTCTAGCAATGAGCCACCTCCAGCACATCTGGAGAAGGGAGCAGAGAACTCCCCATTCATTTCATAGGGGCTTGAAGCATGCACAAAACACACAGACACAGGCATTTCTCTCTTGCTGATCCTGATGACAGCATCATGGCATGACCTTTACTGTAGTTTCTGCTGGCTGGAGCAGAATATGTTCATGTGAGGTCTGTTTTTCCTCTGATATGCACAAAAACAATATAAACCCAAGGAGAGAAAGGAATTGTTTAGGGTGAGTCCAAGAATAACTAGGAGTAATGGGAGGAAACAGAGCAAAGAAACATTTAAGATGAATATCAAGAAAAACATCCTAACACTGAAGTTTACAAGGTTGTAGAATAACCTCCAAAAGGAAAAGGTGGAAACCTTATCAGTGAGTTATTTCACACTGGAGAGAACAAAGCCCAGAGTGCAGGGAATAGTCAGGCACTGGTGAGGAAATGGGAGGGATGGCCTCAGGGGTGCTGTCTGTCACTTGGATACTCATCTGGGTGACCCACAGTGTACCTCACTTTTTAACCTGAAAGCAAATGCAATGCAAACAATGACTGCCTAAGGGGGAAAAAATCCTGTTTCTTTAAGAGCGGGGGCCTCAGAAGCACTTTTTAAATGAGCCTGAATGATATGAAGTACATTAATGAGTTTTCAAGTCATTTTCTTTTTTTCTTCAGCCCTGCCAAAATGTGTGCCTGTTCTGGCAGCAGTTTTCTAGCAAATTAATGAAACATCAGATGAGCACATCCAGCCAGATCAGAGTAGTGTGTTCCCAGAAGTGAGCCTGAGTAGGCAGATCCTTAGCTGTTGTAAATCAATATAGCACCCTTGCTTTTGCTGCAGAGCAACCCCAAGCTACAGCAATTAGCCCTACTTGGTGTTAAAATACAAATACTGCTTTCAATTTTCCCAG